TATAGAGGGCTTATCAGTTCAGGAAGCTACTGCTTTAATTGTGCAACCAGAGGAAGTGATTGAACCTCCCCGCCCCCAGGTCCGCGCGCACAGGGAAGCACCTTTATTACCAAGAACAAGGGCATTACCGAAATGCGGTGCATGTGGAAATCAGGGCCATAGAAGAGATGCATGTCCAGATAGACCTAGAATTTAGCTGATTGAATTTGATGGAGTTTTGGTTGAAATAAATGCGTTTAAAATTAATAGGCTGGTTGGGGTGGCCAGCTCGCTTGGGAATTACGTTAACGTAACGTAACTAAATAACTAACTATTGACCTTGATCAGGCGGCCATTGGGAGTTAGTACACAACGCAAGAGATAGAACGTGCAGTTCATGGGCTATCAATGAGAGACTTGTCAGGAAAAGAAAGAGGTGAGAGGATGGACAGCTAACTATCTCTACCGAAGTCCTGCACAAATGTGCAGGGTCGCGTGACTACGTGTTCAAACAGAAAGCTTGCGCCTCTTTGATATGCACTTTTTAATCTAAAAGACCCCGGTCTAATTTTAGTTGTTGCCAAGGTAATCCATAACCAAAAGGAAAATTGCAAAACTTTGGTTCGATTTTCTTTCCGTTCATTATTAGGTCCCGTTGGTGTAGGATTCAAAGCATCTCATCCCAGTTCGGTGTGACTGTGAACTTGCCAGACAACTGGCCCATGGACCAAACATGTTTTGGTGTGTCTTCCTCTGACTCCAATGGCACCTTTGACAGGATGACGGCTTCCTGGACGAAACCAACTGGTGCTCCACGATCCAATTCCATACTAATTCCACCCCAGTCTAGAGTCACACGGCCTGACTGGTGTACGTTCAATTTGCCGACACGGCCTGTGGGTAGAGACCATGGCTGGCCAGCTGTGATAATGCTGTTTTCCTTCAATTCGGTTGGCTGCGTGTTTTCAACAATCTCCACATCGTCACCTGCTTCACGCTTGATCTCGTTCTGAGGAGGTGCAGTTGCGGCTGTGACTGCAGCTGAGTGTTGGTTGTCTGGGGCAGAACCGGCGACCCTGAGGTAGGGAGTCATTGGCGGGAATTGCATGAGGAACATTTGGCCATGTAGAGGGTTGTCCTCTTCCTGTTCTTCCTTCTCTTCACTCGCTTGGCCACCTTCCTGTCCTTCTACTGCGGCCAGTTTGTCTTCGGCAGCTCCTTCGGTAGATTCTGCTTCTGTGGTGGCCTTCTTTGGCTCCTTGGGAACAAGAAGATCCCTGATGATAGCCAAATCTTCCATGTGCCGGTCATATTCGTCGATTTCCTCTTTGGTGTGAAGTAGGCTGCGTGGGTCAGGGATTTCAGGCTCAGGAGTGGGTTGAGTTGATCGTAGTTCTGTTGTGCTCCTCTTTGTTGGGCTCATGCTCTGAGCCGAGCGCACACGGACGTTATGCTCCGGGAGGAAGTCATCGTCATCTGCATGTGGAATAGCATCTGGCATGGTTATGTCGTCGTCTTGAGGTTCGGGTTTGACCTTGGTAGGCGTACGGCCAACATCCTTCGCGGCCTTCTCCTTCTCCTTTTGTGCTTTTATGCGGAGATCGGCGGTTCTACTTGTGCTGGATTCCATGTTGACGCTGATGACTCTTTCCTCGTGTTCATGTCGCTCAACACGGACAGGACGAAGTCCACGTTCGCCGCTTGACCTGCTAGGTTGTTTGCCCTTGAAATCTTTTGGCATATCCCAGTCCTCCTCGTCGCTGTCGAGGTTGATATGATCGATGCTGACTCGGAGCGCGTTCTCTTCGTCGTCTGAAGAATCATATGCACGCCCGCGGTTGCCCCCAGTAAGGCCAGACCGATTGTATCCAGAACCTGCACCGCCTGGACCTCCTCCATATCCACCGCCTCCGCCGCCACCATAACCACCACGACCTCGCTTGCCGCCTCGTCCACCAAATCCACTCATACCCATGGCCATGGGTCCACCACGGCCACGGAATCCACCACGACGAGCAGTACCACCACGGCCACGCTGAATAGCGGCTGCCTCCTTCAGACGCTCATTGTATCGTTCTTGTTCAAGTCTCTCGATCTCATCTCGCTCCTGCTTGCTGCGACGCCCAACGGCCTTCGGTTTGTGTTTCAGGATTGGTTTGGGCGGCTCGCCACCAAGCGCAGACGGCGGCCGACTAATGGGCGCAATGCTGCCGGAAGGTGTGCGTTTGTTCAGTGTTTGAAGCCGTTGCACTGAAGCTCGACTCGCAGGACTAGGCGCGCCAGTTGTGGTGGGAGCATTTTGCGCAGTGCCCCCGCCAGCGGGAGTCGGAGTAGTTGTGTCAGTTCGGGCACCACGGTTGGCGGCCCCTTCACGGGCGCTCCCACGAGGGGCGGCTTTGGGGGGCATTGTCGCTGCTTTTCAGACAAGGCGCTGAATGCGGCTTGCCGGGCGGTTGGAGAAAAGTTCGTGTAGAGGAGCTGGTTGGCACACCGCGTTACATGCAGACTCAGTGTTAAAGTTGTTTGGTTCTGCTACTGTTGGCACACGACAATGCGACTGAAGTTAAGCAAAGCGTCGTTTCGTAGAGGAACTGTGAGCGTTTTGAGGTTCGAGAAAGTTGAGCTCTTCAAAAAAGTTGCGGGGCCAGCTACACCGCCCTTGTCAGGTGACTCGTCCCACCGGATATCTATCGCTGATCGACATTGTCCTCTGTAGCTATGTAGACGATGATGATTTGACTAAATGATACCTTGAATGATTGAAGTACACGGAAAATTTGAACCACTTTCACTGAATCTTTAACTACTTAGCGGACTAAGTTGAGCAAGATTGGAATATCTTCTACAAATTTTCATGCTTTGACTCCTTTGTCCTGGGATACATATATAACTTTTGCTACTAGTCGACCATACACCACAAACATGAAACCGACATATACAATGATGAATAACCCAGTAGCATTGATTCCTAATGAGCGAGTGGATGTGACAAGAAGCATATGGCCCACAGAAACACTAAGACGCCAAAGGAACACAACAACAGATCAACCGCTTGGCAGTGTATGATGGAGGGAGCATGGCTTGTAACCAGAGAAGGGAATGTGGTGTGAAAATGGCAAATGATGTTAGTATGCTAACATAAGGACTGACTCTGGCGCTGGCCAGATGAGGGCGAAAGGAGAGATTGAGGGCAGATGAGATTGGCCCATAGTGAGGATGGCAAGATGAATGAGTGATCCCATGGTCATGCAGAAAGTTGGAGGTGCGAAACGGTTCGGCCCTTAGAGATAGCGAGAGCAATCGCATCCTGCAGCTCCACTAGCGCTTCCGCTTCTTATTCTTGTCTGCTATAGATGAAGAGATAGGAGGGGTCGTGGGCGTTAATGAAAACTCCTCATCTTCATCCATCTCTTCCCCGTTCTTCTTCACGGGGACACCCATATGGCGACCATAACGCCCTTTGCGGCCATTGCCCTCATCCTCACTGACACAGCCGTCAATTCCAATGCCTGCATCCTTGCAACGTCCACAGGGGCGCTGACGGTCACAGCCCTTTTTGCTCTTGCGGCACCGCTGGCAACGAGGCTTGGTAGAAAGATCTTCCTCATCCGCACCGAGCTGGTGCTGGAAGTTGACCGAGCCACCCGAGACCTTTCGGGAAGACGCCGGGCTGAGAGGTGGACCAGGCGCGGCTGACTTCTCGGATGGTTTGCGAGGCGCTGGCATAGCAATCTTGCTTTTGTTCGGTTTCGCAGCTGCAGGCTTCTGGCTGCGAACCTTGAAAGACGTGGGGCGGCTCTTTGGCTTCTTTGCCTTCGGTGCAAGCTCTTTGTAAAGAACATCCTCCTCAGCTTCACTTTTGATACCATCATCTGCACCATCGGAGCTGTGATCACTACTATCAGCGCTGGGAAGGATGTCATCCAAGCCCTTGAGGTGGCGCTTGATGGTTCCGGGTGGCAGCATTGGGCTTGAGTCCAACCTCTGGCGACGAGCTGGCAAATCATCCTCATCCTCGCTAAACTCTTCCCCATCGCTAGTAGCACCAGTGGAAGAAGCAGCGTCAGCGGCACCACTGAAGGCATCGTCCAATGTCGAGGCAGAGGTGCGTCCATGAGAGAAATTGGACGCATCACCTAGGCGTATCAATTGCATCGCCACATCCTCATCGGATATGCAGCTTGCGATAGTGGGATCAGGTGTGGGCAATATACCTGAACCACTTACTCGGCTAGCCGAGTTGTTATAGACTCCTGTGTCGCGCATGCGATTTCCATGGTCCGGAACCACGGGAGTCGCATAAATCGTATTACGCCCCGAGTGCACACCATATTCGCTGTGGCCATAGCTTTGAGGTGACGGAAGCGCATGGTGATAGCTATATGGGCGTTGCGGTGGGCGTGCAAAAGGCGACCCAGCGCCTTCCTGGCCAATCGATCTACGTTGGGGAGAGATGGAGGAGGTGGAGGTAGTGAGGGGCACTTGTGGAGGAACGAACAGCGGTAGTTCCTAAGGGGAACAGATTGATTAGCGACAAGTCTTTATCAAGAGGAGAGTCGTCTCGCATGAGTCACTCACGGAGCTATCGAACTTGGGTCGTTTCCGACGACCATCTTGTAGTATATTCTCCATGCTAATGTCAGAGCTGGCAAATAGTTCGTTGCGAGCCCTGCGAGCATAGGCGCTCTCGGTATCGCTATAGTCATCATCATCATGGAAACCGCCATGGGCGCTCGAGGCCCGGCTTTTGTTGCCTGCACGAGAGGGGGGCTTGTGCTGAGAAGCGCTGCGGAGACTCCGGTTCGACGGAGAGGTGCTGCGCTTTCTCGCAAGACGAGAGGCTGGCCGTGATGGCTGATCCAACACCGGCACCGCCCCATCTACCATCTGGAAAGGCTCTGCCAGACTGGGCCGCTTGCGAGGCTCGACATTGAAGCCGTTATAGAAGTGATCCCCATATGGTTGAATAGGAATGACTCGCACGTATACAGTCCTATTGTTCTTGAGATTCTCGTACCTTGCGATGAGGGTGGTCCCATGTTCATCCTCGAAGCTGACCCCACTGGCAGTACCGTCATATATTCCATAGAAATTTTTGACCGTTGTGACGATCGAATCCGTGGTATCATGAGGATAGATTTGAACGCGCATTGGAATACGAGCTCGGACTTTGGAGTTCTCATCAAGAAGCAACTCAAAGGCGATGTTCTTGGGTGCTGGGCCTTTAAGCGACAGATCTCGAGCTACAGTGGCAGAGTCTGCCAGACCCGCCTGCTCGACCAGGCCAGAGAGCCCTTCATGCTGAACCGCTTGCATATCAAAGTGTTCTAAATTGAAGAATACTCCACTGCTATACCAAAGATTGCATCAACCCACTGCTTATGTGCCGTAGAGGGCGGGAATGTGATCCATGGCAAGACACAGAGGAAGGGCAGATGTAGAGGGAAGAATCCATCAAACCTACCACAATTGTTGAATTCGAATTATCAGGCTGGTGGATGGACCACCTCCGGGTCTTGATGTGTAGTAACTGTCAAGGAAAAACCTTCGATGGAGGTGGGAGGGGAATCTGCCGTCGCAAGAGCCGGAAGCGACTCAAAATGGGAAACGTGGGAAATCTGAAGAAAAATGGATCATACGAGTTAGCACAACCGGGTTCTAAGCGCTCGAATATACAACAAGGATGGGACTTGTCTTGGAAGATGATATATGAATGTGTCGCTAACCGAGTCCGGCCGACCTTGGGAGCGAGCAGGCTTGGGGGGAAGCAAGCGAGATGACCCGGAAAAGATTGGAGAGACTTGAACACACCTAATTCAACTCAAACAGAGTCCTCTAGTATCGCAGATATCTGGATTGTCTAGGACGGGGCGAAGGGTCGAAGGATGGGTCGGTCGAGGCCGAGAGGGGATTGTCGATTCTACGAAGCGCTGAGGCTATGTCAGCGGTGGCATCTCCAGGATTGAAACGGGGCCAGGGGAGTAAAAAGTGAGATTGAACAAGAGCAGAGATACATACCCAATACTGCTGATGGCGCTGATGGCGATTTGTTCGAGGGGTTGTTGGATGGAAGGAAGAAGGTTGAAGTGGGTGCGTACGATGGTTTCACCTAAAGCGAGAAAACGACCTGCCCGGGTCGGTGACATGGCGATTTGCGCTTCCGGTGCCCATCGCAGCAGCCATCACATTCCATGGCATTTATGAATCTATATAAAATGTTCTATTGATTTGCAACTATTCTATGCATCGAAAAAAGCTGTCTGTGAAACCATTCCAGTGCTGTCTCTTTTCGCAGAGGCGCAATGCAATAGCTGTCGCAAGCCGGATGCCATTGCGCCGAGTGACGGAGCACTTTGTCTAACCCTCCTTCTTGCATATGATGTACGAAATTGAGATTATGATCCGATCTTTAAGTCTTCAGGGATCAAGTGTAAGTGAATGTGGGCTACCTAGGACTGTTGGGTGGAGGATGCAGCGCTTCACACAAAACAGGTAGCTTAGGTACCTCGGTCGCTACAAGTATTTAGAGTGTCGAGGGCCGAAGGCGCAAAAAGAGAGAATGAAATAGCACCCAATAGATTTATGGGTTTGCAGCTAGTTTTTAGCTTGACCACGTAGCAACCCATACCTTTTTTTGGTCTGTTGTGGAGGTGTGCGCTTGGACAGAATTGACATTGTCCGGTCATTTTCCCACCACCTCTCTTGTCGCATTGCTCATTTACTATGCGAATTGGAAAATACTAGATACTGCGACACTTTTGATGTGGTTTGATATCAAAATCACCAGCGTAGGGTGATTGCTATACGTTTTGTTGCTGCGCCTTTAGGGCCGGACCTGGAGATTTATACTCAACCGAGAAGAGATCACCAAGAGAACCAAACCGATTCAATTCCCCTAATAACCCCTTTCATAATATCGCATGACTCTAAGGAGTTGTCTCGCATGATCTGCAACTTGGATTTACCCCTCCTCGGACCTATGTAAGGTTAAAATGGAATCCCGCATCGGCGTTACAGAGCATTCATTTCTCCTTGGAACCTGGCTACAAAAGGGAGATCGGAATATAGCAAATCCGTGATCCCACAATTTAATTGATTTCTTAAGAAAATAGCCGATGAAAAGGGGGGAACATTTCTGCTTGGTGGAGTCAGGCGGTGATGCTGAGAGACTGGGCGCAAAAGGTCCTTTAAATGTGAATTGACGATGAAGATCACCGGATCCAAGAACATGGGTATTGTCTATATAGTTTACCCCAAAACTGTCCATTTCCTCTGATCTGAAGCCCCGCATCACCCGGCGAGACTGAAAAAGCCGACAACCGTCGCAGCGATAGGAGTGGGTTTCGGTTGATCACAAAGCTGCCAAACAGGAACCGCTTGATTCCGGGTGTCCCACCTCTTGTGACGGCGGTGTGGCTCTCACGTGGTCTCGTGTTGACAGCGCGTCAGATCTTGATTGTGCCATAAAAGGGCGATCGAACTCGCAAATATGAATTGTTTAAAGATTATTTTATCGGAGTCTATAGAGGAATGGTAAATATACCAATAGATAGTTTTGTGTATTCTTTCATCTTGTTTGGGGTGTCCTTGAATCTAAAATAATGTTCAACGGACGTCGAAGGAGACGCGCCGATAAGGTTAATGACGTCAAATCATCAACAAACAGTGCAAACCCAACCCTTTATCAACGTCCCGAGTCCCGACCTCGGGATGCCCCAACCTTGGAACCTTGGGTTGATATCAACTTGGCAAGTTACGTATATCTGGAAAGCCTCAATTACATACTCTCACTACCTGTAGCCAAAAAAAAGCAAAACCAAAGCCCTAGAACTGAACAAAGTCAGACGCTAGTTGGAGGTGCAATACTTTGTCTTACGGATCGATCTACTTGGGTTGTTAGGCCTACTCCAAAATTTCAATCAGAACGCCGGGAAATCAGGTTTAAAAAATCCATATCTTAATTCCTTCGTCAAGCGTAGTACATTGAAAGGTTGCTTGGTACATCTTGAGCCGTCTTTTGCACCTATTTCTGGCTTCAACACTGACAAGGGGGAAATACCTAAACGAACAATTACTAAAAAGATCACCAAAAAGATGTAACATGGCCAAACATGCGGCCAACTATCCTTGTTTTGTATAAATCAAAATTTCCGTAAGACTTTGAGCCTAGCACAAGATGAGACAGGCGTATATAGGGTGTGCACGGTAGGAAGGTATGCACGACCGTAGCTTCCGATTTAGGAATAGCGTACATTGCCAAGAAGGCACATCTTCAAGAACAAGGGACAACGCAACCTCCCTTCATCGCGGTAACTGTCACTTCGGATCTCATTCATTCATTTTCTTTCATCCAGTTCCAGCATCACATACTCTGCCTAGGTAACAAATCTCAACTGACGTTCAACTGACGAGCTTGGGATAATTCGGGAAGGGACGACTGAGCGGATCCAAACGGACTGTTTGTTTTGCCTGGGTCAGCCAATCACGCAGGGCAACTCCGCTCCCCCAACTGAGCAAAAAGTAAACAACATCCATTTACCATCTTCAAGATAGATTTGACAGCACGTCTTGCAACTTCATTTTCCGCGATCATGAATGCCAAAGTGAGTTAGGTTTTTGCTGATGCTCTGGTTTCCCCAATTTCTTAATTTTTACGCGTCAATTGCGCGTAAAACGGCACCGCGTTCAATATCACATCATCATGTATTTTCCCACTCAGTCTAGAGTTGCTTGATTCCTTACAAAATTGAAGATATTGATGCTAACTCGGATTGTAGCCACAGCGCTTTCGAGCTATTGGGGATGAGAATGTGCCCCCTCCGTCCCTGCATCAAACCCACAAGGTCATCCATCAACGAAACAAGTCAAGCCCTGCGCTGAGTATGGCGGCTCAGAACAATGCTGGCCGACGCGCGTTTGTGGATGTCAGCAACACCAAGGACATTAGCCGCGCTAGTCGGGACGACTCTGGCGTTAGTGGAAAGCCTGCTCTAATGGAAGTTAGGGGTCCTGGGCTGTCCCAGCCAGCCCAGCGCCGCATGACCTTGTCAGGAACCAAGGGCCCTGTTGAAAACGCTACCACAACAAAGCCTATGATCCATGCTGGCAAGGCACCACTGACGTACAAATCGAAGCGAAACAATGCGATATACAAAGACCAACTGCACACTGTTCCCGAGAAGGTCCCATCCAAGGAAACCACCAAAGATACGGAGGCCAAGGCCAGCCACAAGGGAGCGGAGAAAGGACGCCACGCGAATAACATTGTGGCAGAGCCTTCACATGGGCTGAACGTGGATATCGCCAGCCTTGTTGAGTCTGATGCCACCGTATCTGAGACCGAAGATATGAAAGAGCACGCACATGCCAAGGAACTTGTGCCAGCGGTATCAGAGCCTGAGGAATGGGATGGGGATGATACCGAGTATCATGTTGCACCCACCTACTTCTCTCGTGGGGATAACACCGACGGAACTACTACCGTCATTTATCCATTCATGAACAATGTAACCACTCGTGAGATGTTCCGGGCGAAGGACATTGTTAAAAGCGAGCAAGTACAAGAAGACATTGATGAGGAATGGCTGGATACAACCATGGTCGCGGAGTATGGCGACGAGATTTTTCTTCATTTAAGGAAGAAAGAGGTATGTTTTACTTTCATTGCCGGTTAATCAAATTGAACTAATCCAAGTCTGTAGATTGAGATGCTTCCGGTCCCCGATTACATGGCCCGTCAAAGCGAACTCCAGTGGTCGATGCGCTCAGTATTGATGGACTGGCTAGTTCAAGTTCACCAGCGCTTCAACTTGCTCCCTGAAACCCTGTTTCTCACGGTCAACTACATTGACCGTTTCTTGTCGTACAAGGTGGTTTCCATGGGCAAGTTGCAGCTTGTTGGTGCGACTGCGATCTTTATTGCTGCAAAGTTCGAGGAGATCACAGCTCCGTCTGTGCAAGAGATCGTTTACATGGTTGACAGTGGATATTCCGTCGACGAGATTCTAAAAGCAGAACGGTTCATGCTCACCATCCTCGATTTTGATCTTGGATGGCCTGGCCCTATGAGCTTCCTTCGCCGCATTAGCAAGGCTGATGAATATGATCTTGAAACTCGTACTGTTGCGAAGTACTTTCTTGAGCTGGCTATTATGGATGAGCGCTTTGTCTGCACTCCCCCCAGCTTCATTGCGGCAGGTGCCCATTGCCTGTCTCGCCTGCTGCTTAACAAAGGCAACTGGGTACGTTTGGCTCTCCATTTACTACATTGGAACACTGCTAACATTCAGCCATAGACACCGGCACACGCCTTTTACAGTGGCTATCTCTATTCCCAGCTGATTCCGGTGCTAAGCACACTGATTGAATGCTGTGAGAACCCTCGCCGCCACCACGCCGCCATCTTTGAAAAGTATTCGGATCGTCGCTTTAAACGTGCTTCGATGTTTGTTGAAGCAGAACTTGCCATGGATTTCGTTCTGCCCGAAGCCTCTGCTCTCAATGATCCAGATCGCTTGGACGGCTATGCAAACTACTAATACCTTGCCTCAGACTAATACCTCGGTGCCCTGCAAATACCATGCATAGCTGGCTTTCATAATTGCTGGTGCTAACCACCACCCACGATCTCTAAACTTATTCATCGTTTTTTTCCCGGTCAACATGGCGTTTTTTGTCTCTCGGTGTGGACTGGCGGATCGGTTCTTTTAATGCATGGCGTTTGCGCGTTATTCCGGTCTTTTCCACCATCTTCATTCTATCACTTGTTTTGTTCCTTTTGATTTCCTCCTAGCTCTACTGGGCTGACGACGAGATGACTTGACGCCACCAATTTCCGAACATGAGAGCAAATGATCGGAAGGCGTTGACGATGGTCTGTTTCTCGCCGGGCGTTCCAACTGCCTCTTTATTTTTGTTCTGGGGACACGGCTTGTTGGTGGTAACTGGGCTAACCGTTGATACACTCTCTATCTACACAAGTCACCTGACTGGCTCTACGCCACCTTCTGTATGTTGTACTGTCCTAGTAATAGTCTAATATGACGTCATATTTCTACAACTACATAACCTGAGTTATGGAGTATAATCCCTTAGGTAGTAGCTACCTGAATTTGTCCATATGATACATCCATTTTAATAGTTCTCTATGTGGTATCAAATCTAGCGATATCTACTTCCTTGGTCTGAACAACAAATTTCAAGCGAGATCTATATTTTGCAGACCTCTTTTCGCAACACAAGAATGGAAACCCTTCCACGTGGGATTACACAGCATCGATAGAACCATATCATACCTAGATTTCCCTGGAAATAATAATATCGAATACACATTCAAGGATGCCTTGGAAGTCATTTCGATTGTCTATCCATCTAAAATGATACATGGGCTGTATGTGTTTTCAACCCAAGACTCCACCAGTGCAGATCACTGATCAAGCCCATTAAACTCAATCAACTTCTTAACAGCCTGAATCACCCTATCAGTAAGACTGCTGCCATCGGAGATAACCGAGGGATTATCAAATCGATCCGTCAGGGCCTCATCCAGCATGGTGCGAAGCCGCGAAACGAGCACGCCGATCCGGGCCCAACCGCGTAGACGGAGCCAGCCGTCCACAACTAGTCCGCGACCTACAGTGTCAAGTTCTATCGAGCCGCAGAAGAGAAGTAGGGAGTATGCGTTGAAAGCTATAAGAAAGAAAAATCACGTTAGGAGCTGGTGTCTCGAGGGACAAAAGAGGAGTAACTCACGGGTGAGATCGCGAATGAAGACCTTGCTGGTAGCCATCTTGGTAAAGTAGCTGAGATACGTCGCGGAACTGGGGTAGCCAGCCGCAGAGAAGAGGATGGAGCTTGGGTGAATGAACACACGGCCGTTCTCCTGATTGAAGTATTTGATAGTGCGAGCATCCGGGTCGACCTCGACGGTACCAGTAACCGAGCTGGCGAACTTCTTATCTGGGAATGAGATCTGCGCGACCTGCGGCTGGAAGGCTCCAGCAACAAGGGCGCGGATCAAGTTGCGATTGGCTGCGTTGCGGTTCCAAGCCGTAGCCGATGAATCAGAATACTGGACTGGCAGAATGCCTGCATCTTTGAGAGAGGTGATGAACTGCGCGCGGTTGGAGGAGATATCGCGCAGCGTCTGATGGGAAAGGAAGTTGGTGGCACACCATGACTGGGTACCCCAGTAGCCACCCTGGGCGCGGGTTAGTTCGGACCAGGCCTGGTATGCCGAGAGGTCGGTGAGGAGGTCGCCGTCACCCGGGCGGGAGAAGCTTCCTTTGGCGGCGTTTGCTTCGTCGCGCTTCTCACGCGGTGAGACGAAGGGGCTCTTGACTGTTAGCATGGCTGCAATTGTGAGGCAGGGTTCCATGCAGCCGAAGATGGAGCCATAGATCATGAGCTTGGCGCAGCGGAGGTCTGCCGGAATCATGGAGAGGTAGCGGCCCAGGGCTGTTAGTCTATCGTGGTCTAGAGCGCCTACGCGATGCAAGAAGTTCAGTGCACCTTCAACGGCTATGCTTTCTGGTGGGGTGATGGTGTTGGCTAGGAAGGTGGCGACGTCCTCGATTCCTTTCATGGATTTAACGGATAGGCACAGCTGCTCCAGGGGAACACGGCGGATTTCTGGGTCTGGTCGTGGGGCCATGTTTGCTTCAGCTTTACGGGTGTATAGCTTATAGCAGATACCTGCGCGGACACGGCCTGCCCGGCCACGACGCTGTTTGCAGGCGGCCTGTGATGCCCATACTTCTTGGAGACGGACCATGTTGTCCTTGGGGTCGTAGCTCGTTTCCTTGACTCGACCGGTGTCAATTACGGCAACAACATCCTCGATTGTGATTGAGGTTTCTGCGACGTTTGTAGCCGCAATAACCTTTCTCTTCCCTTTTGGTGCGGTCTGGAATACTCTTCGTTGTTCGGCTGGGAGCAAGGAGGCATGTAATGGCAGTGGATGCATGTCGGGGATCCTCTTGACTGCGTTCAGACACCTATCAATCTCTAAAGTACCAGGGAGGAAGATCAATATGCCTCCTGGCTGGTCTCCTAGCTGAGCATCGATGTATTCGACAGTTGCTGCGATCAAATCGTAATTGATTCCCATACCCAAACTTCGTAGTGCTTTCCCAAGTGTTTCTTCACCCCGTGAGGGTTCTTCCTCATCCTCATAACCTTCGGCAAGTTCTGGCGCAAATGATGTGCACCGAATAACGTCATCCAAGTAATAGTCTTCGACAGGGAATGTTCGGCCGGGAATGTTCACCAGTCCAACAGATCTCTGACCGCCAAAATATCTCATGAAGATGCCAGCATCGAGAGTGGCACTCATGAGAATCACTTTCAGGTCTTTACGGAAATTCAGAACATCCCTTAGCAGCGCCAGTAAGAAGTCTGTATCCAGACTTCGCTCGTGGACCTCGTCGACCACCACATGGGAAACGTCTGCAAGGGAGCTTGCGACGTTGCCATCTGCATCGCCACCCGATTGTATCCGGCGAAGCAAGACACCAGTAGTCACGAAGGTAATCTTTGTTGAACCAGGCTTGGCTTTCGACTCGCCTCGGATCACATATCCGACTTCATCACCGACTACGGCGCATCGCTCATCACTGACTCTGTCGGCAAGACCTAGGGCTGAGATTCGCCGTGGCTGCGTGCAGATGATGTTGGCAGCACCTCCCAGTCCTCGCTGGATCATGTCGTCTAGCACAAACTGTACGGATTGTGTACTTTTACCACTACCAGTCTCACCTGAGATGATAGTCACCTGGTTTGAGTTGATAGCGTGGATAATTTCATGTTGGATGTTCCATGCAGGAAGCGCTTTCCTTTTGCGGATCATCTCGATCTGCGGCGCAGTATCTTGTTTGGCCTCCCAAGCATCGCGGATCGCCAAGCTTCGCTCTGAGTCGACCGTCCAGTCTATACCTCTACGATTCTTCCGAGCTGACCGCAGAGGAATTTGGTGCGTCTCAGCTGCCGACGAGACTGTCACAGCGGAAATCTCTCGCAATTTGCCCGGGTTCTCCATGACGCTCGGCAGGTTGACTTCCAGCCAATCCATAATGTTGAAAATCATGGATTCACCTTTAAAGTTTTCCTCGGCATACTGCACTGCCCGACGGATTGCACTCAGACGTATATAAGCTGGGACACCCTTAGCCTGGATTGATATAATAGGGGGCGTAGTTGGGTAGTGGGCGGTGGGCTTTTGGAAGCGGAAAATTGTGCTTTGTGGAATGTCCGGTGCCTCGCTATTGATCTCGCAGACCTTGGCTGATATTCGGTGGTAACGTTCTCCGAAGATGGCCTCCAGCGTAATTGCTTCTTCTGCCCAAGCCTCTTCGTCTTCGTCCGCCACTGATGGGGCCGAAAATTGAGTTCCATGAACTAAAGTGCCCTGCAAATGCTCAGCAGCCGCCAATTCGTCGCCATTCTTGCTGTCCAAAATTCGAGAGCACATGTCGGCTGGATAGCCAACAGATGCCAGCCGTTTGATTTTGCCCTCACGAGCAAGATCACCGGAACCAAGACTGACTCCAGCTGAATATCCTTCCGGTAGAGACCACCGTGGGAGGTCATCATCAGGAACATAGATAAGAAGCCACTCCAAGACCTCTTCGCGGTCTTTGCATTCCGCTGTAGCTTCTTCCACATGGCTGCGACGGAACCCTAGACCAGTAAATTCGTCCACGATGATTTTCTTTTGGGTTTCGGGTATCTTCACGCCATATGGATTCCAAATCGTATGTTGCCGCAAAAGGCCTTCAATGTCTCGCCGAATCCGTGTGCCCATGTCCACCTTGGGCGCTTGCGACCAGATCCGTTTACTCCTGGCATCTCCATTTCCTAGCCCTAGTTCTGCACTTGAGGCCTTTTCCTTTGCCTGGGCTTTTTCACGATCTGCTCGCTTCTTTGCCAAATCGGCGGCCGCGCTCTCTCTTTCTTGCATGGCTAAGAATGGATCTGCCTCGTACATCCAGCCCTTGCCTTCCCGAGTCTCTGCTGCTTTAATTTCTCCAAAGTCCTCCTTCCATAATTTCTTGTATGTTGGGGGCATCATCATATGGATATTGCGCATATTGCATACTCGGAACAGGGCAAACGCTGCACCGAAATGGCGCGCTTCGAGGGCTGTCGGCTGCCCAGCGAGTTGCTTATGGGAAGGAGGTAGCTTAACTGGTGGGATCACAATCAATTCCTTGGTCTTAGGATCTATCTTTTTCATCGTTACGGATGAGACAAAGCCGTCGGCGGTTTTAACCTGCAATTGTCGCAATCTATCAGCATGTGGGTTGGTAAATGTGTTTATAGACACGCGATGAGCGCCATGAGAAGTTTTGATTACCATGCTGTACTCAGGCTTTTCCCATTTTTGCTTCTGACAGTGCTCCGCCAACATATTGACTGGTAGCTTCCCTGTCCATGATGCGCCGCCAATGACATCCTTTACGGACGGTTTCTTGGGCTCCTCCGGCGTTTGCTTCTTTACTTCGCTGGCTTTCTCTGCGAACGCTTTGGCTTGTTTCGTACCCGGTTTGGGACCGCCCTTACCATCGCCTTTCTTCTTAGGTGGCATTTCGTGTGTGGTAAGTGTTTGCGCAAAAGATAACTTTCGGAGCTTCAGGCAAAATAGTGACCCGCACTAAACCGCTTTGGGATTGCGGGGAGCATACGGAGGAGTGCAGCGACCATTGGAGACTTAACTCTCAACAGGCGGATGACCTGCACTCTTACTTGGTCCACCGATGTAAGGCTTTGACTTTATTGCTCAAAGGCAATGCTGCAGCTAATATCTATTGTACAACGAGTCAATCTTCTACACGAACCATCATGTCCGGGAAGCGCTCCAATCCGAGCAAGGGTGACCAAAAGGTGAAAACCGGGGCATCGGAGAAGAGGAATGCCTGTAAGGCACCGAGAGTCTTGTTACCGAACACTATCACTGATCTATCGGTTTGACAGTTACCGAACTTCTGGCTCCCAAAAGCAAGCAACCCAAGCACGCGACCAAAACCCCGTCTGATCGCAATGCGGCAAAGGGCAGGACTGCATTTGGTGTCCGCGATGGACTGGGCGCCTACATCTCAAAACCTGAGACATACTCTCCTGATATCTTAGTTTACCATAATGACGACTTCGTGGCGATCCATGACATGTTCCCAAAGTCATCGCTACACCTCCTCCTTCTCCCCCGCGACCAGACCAAAACGCGCATGCATCCATTTGACGCTTTCGAGGACGCCAAGTTCCTAGCAAAAGTGAAGGCCGAAACTCGAACCCTCCGCAAGTTGGCAGCGAGCGAGCTGCGACGCAAATATGGCAAGGATTCTGTGCAGGAGCAAGCGAGACAGGCGGCGCTGAGCGCTGATCCGCCGCCCGATAAGCTACCGCAGGGTCGGGACTGGGAACAGGAGATCGAGGTCGGCGTGCATGCGGTACCATCTATGAACCACTTGCACATTCATGTATTGTCAGTGGATAGGTATAGCGAGCGCTTAAAGCACCGGAAACACTACAATAGCTTTTCAACACCATTCTTCGTGCCAATTGAGGACTTCCCGCTGTCGAAAGATGATGTGCGACGGAATCCGACGGAAGAGGGGTATCTAAAGCGAGATTTTACTTGCTGGCGCTGTGGCCGAGGCTTTGGGAATCGGTTTGCAGAACTGAAGCAACATCTGGAGCAAGAGTTTAAAGAATGGAGAAAATTGTGACCTATAGGTGTGCTTGTGAAGATATCCCTGGTTTTGTATAGAAAAGTCCATTTCATATAAGATGCCTCTTTTCGGTTATTTTTCTGTTGGCATCCGGACAAAATATCTGCGAAATAAAGTGCAGAGGGACACCCAGAAAGACTAACTTACAAGGCGTCCCAAGGCCGCAAACGCGGCCTCCAATTCTTGCACCAGTACTGCCAAAACAGGCACAGCATAGTAAACAGTGGATCGGTCTCTCCAGAAGTGATCCTGTTGGGCATCCATGGAAGCTAAACTAGGCCAAAATCTTCTATTTGGTAGATATACATGTCCCTTATGACAAGCAGCAGCGAACGGTGCATTTTCAGCACGTGCCCAAGGCTGCTCCACACTAGACAAAACCTCACACAATGATGTCCATTGAAAAGAATTGTCCCTTTCCCCTGTCCAAGATATAGATGTCGCGTGTGCATTTACGCTCGGGCCTTAGAGCGGCCCTTGACCTTGCGGGCCTCGGGGCGGTTGATGTGGTGAGAGGGGATCCAATCAGCGTTGTAGGCGCTAGCAGAAGAAACCGCAGCACCGGCGGAAGGCTCCTCAGTAACCGGGGACTCAGCGCGTTTTGAGCTAGTCTGGGCGCGCTTTTCGCTGATCTTTCCGGACTTGCGCTTCTGGGGGAAGTAGGGAGCGACCCAAACGGTGTAGAAGAAGTAGCCAGTACCAGAGACACAAGCAAGCAGGAAAAAGTAGAGGAAGATGCTGATTGTAATTGTTAGTCCAATTGTCCTCACATGACTAAGGTAAGAGGGGGGTGTCATACATCTGGGGGTCGAAGATGCTGGTATCCGCTTCCACGATGCTAACGGTGCCATTATGGGCAAGGATAGGAATCAGGTGGCCCTCGCTGTCTGTAACGATGGCAGACAAAATCATCTGGAGATCCTGGGGGTGCATCTCGGTGGTGAAGCTGTAACTGATTGTCTCCTTCTCGCCAGCGGGAACCTCGATAGCATAACGAGTCGCAGTCAAATTGCGGACAATTTGGGCCTGGTCATCGGGTTTGCGAAGACTGCCACCGATAAAGTTCACCGTGATAGGGTTCGGCTCATCATTGGAGATGGCGATCAGCGCCTGTGTAGGGTGACCGTTGACAAGCTTGATACCGAAGATCTCAGAAGCAGGGAAAGAGGCCTGGGCTGAGATAGCCAGAGTGGGAACCTCTGCTTCAGTTTTCTCAGTATCCTGCATGTTCAAAACCAAATAATTAGTCAATTGAGTCATGCGACGCAGTCCTTGAGACAAAGGAAGACGAAAAACATACAGCAGCAATGCCGGTGCCAATGAAAGCTTGGAGAGAGAGTAGAGCCACAGAGAGGAGACCAAAGCGAGTCATCTTGATACCTTGAATGAGATAACAAAGAGAAAAAGAAAAAAAGAAATGTCAACGTCAACTTGAGGTGAAGGAGAATATTTGGCTCCACGTATGCAAAACCGGGGGCTGACTCAGCCAGACAAGAGGACCTCGCCTCGGGAGTTTCCATGGACAACTAGCACAGACAATCTCCTCCTTTCTTATCCATTTTAGTTCAACCATTTTAATCTCATTAGATTTCTATAATGTTCTTATTGAGGAATAGAGCAATGACTGGTCTTTCTGGCTAGAGCAAATTTCATCTGCTCAAACTCTGGTTCCGGCCTTCGACCAGCGGTCATCAACCTCACTCAGGTTAAGGCTTTGGAAGTGTCATCTATTTTTGTCCAAACTTTCGATTAGAAGGCCTGGAAACCAGGCCAAATTACATCCAGATCTTCCTTCCCTTTTCGAGGGTAACATATAGAAATGTCGTTTGGCACATTTTGAGCCGTTTAAATCGCTTGTTTTCTAGCCACAACACCGATAAGGGGGAATGTCTACTAAACTGAGTGCTTTTAAAAATCGACAGTTCAAAAGTCTACTTGAAGATCACCAAAAAGGGTGTAACAAGGTCGAATTCGCCCTAGTCTGTCAGGAACTTTACGGTCTTGAACTTGGTGTTTAGAGGGACTGTGCCCCCGTTTGACAGCGTTCAAGGATGATCCCAGCGAATGCTGAATGCAAACACCATCCAGGACAATGCCGAAGAACGAGCAAATCATGTTCGCGCGGCACTTGCCGGGCTGGGTGATGCGGCGTAAGCTATTTGGCTGGAGCATGGTTAAGAGAAGTGGATCCGCTACTTCAAGAGCATCCACAGCATCTTTCCATTGCTGAAAGGGCTTGCTGCAAAGCTCTGCGCACTGTTTACGGATTGCAGTGTTCTTCCCTAACTTTCTTCAAGCGAGCATTCACGCCTTGGCTCGGGTTAGGAGGCTAGCCGGATCCTATAGCAGTCAACAGGCAGAAAATCCGCTGAAGGTGGAGAAAACTCACTTGCAACACCAAGTACAACATACAGGGATAGGTTACCTAACTAAGGCTATGCAACTGAGGCAATCAATACCTAAGGCAGCACTTGATGGAACTTAAAGTTAAGCGAAGGGCCTTGGCGTCAATTATGTAATCATCTCGTATGTCCACGGGTCCACTATGTGCTCGCTGTCAAGGGCAACCAATGAAAGTATCTCAAAAAGGATTGAGTCACGTGATGAAACTAATATGCTGCATTGGGGCTCGCGGTCTTGGATTTTCTTTGAAGCAAAGAAGAGTGACTATAAATTCTCTATGTCAATTAATTTAATAGAGGCAGGTGGGCACTGATCATTGGCGATAACATTGATTTCAACACTTGACACACTTTGTAGATTGTCACCTCCTGCAAGAGCCTGCCCACCGGAATTTCCCTGTTGTCTTTGATCAGACTTGAAACTTGCTTCTCTCCCTTACTTTCTTTCTTCCTTATTTTCTGTCGCATTCATCCTCTTCGCGATTTCAACCATTTTCATATCTTCAGGCAATACTTATCGATCTACAAAAATGGCGACCCATGCTTATTTAGAGCGCTATCGCCAGCTAAGTGCTCTGGACCAGCAGAAGAATGACTTCATTGAGGTACCAACAATCCTTCCCTTAGTCCCTGATTCATTCTAATCAGACCCATGATTAGGAACTCCTTCAACGTGTGACCGCCCTAGAGAGTTCGTTCCAACAAGAGAAACTCGACCATGAGCGCGAAACCCGGTTCAATCGTGAGGTTCAGGTGCATGAAATGGAGCTGATGGACCAGATATCAGTTGTCAAGAAAATGATGGTGAGCAAAGTTGTGGACACATTGTCTGAGCTCGGGCTAACACATTCTTTTTTTCCCTCTCAGGACCGCGAACCATTCGTCGTATTGCTTTTAGACGGCGAAGGAATAATATTCAAGGACGAATTTTTGCAACTAGGAGAACAAGGCGGACGCAATGCGGCCAAGCAACTTTGGAAATCTCTCCAGGGCTATGTTACGACAATTCTTTCCACTATCACCGAGCCGAAGATAATGACCAAGATCTATCTTAATGTGAAGGGACTTGTGGAGACTTATTTCCGGGGCGGAATCGCCCTAGAGGCCTCCACAGTCAGTGAATTTATCCGTGGATTCAATGAGAGTGCATCATTCTTCGAAATTGTGGATGTTGGAACTGGCAAAAACAAAGCACATGATAAAATCAAGGGTATGTGGTGCAACCTAACATAACAGAGGCCGGTGCTGATTCGCTCCCTCCAGAGGCATTCAAGCTTTACTTATACAATTGCCACTGCCACCAACTCTTCCTTGGCTGTCCCTCCAATGAAGAATATGCCCGGTCATTGACAGAACTCATCTCTGGTGCAAATTATAAAGGCCGAGTCTCGCTGGTTGAGGGTCTTCCACTCGAGAAGGAATTTGATTATTTCCGAGAGCAGGACTATCGAATCACTCAGTTCCCAGATGTGTTCCGAACCACCAAGATTGCTCCAATTACATTGACTGCACAAATCGCACCAAATGCACCGTCTTGGGCTGCTCCCTGGAAAAGCGCAATCCCTTCGCGGACCTTGCTGACACCATCGCCAACCCAGCAATTCCAAACACCTGCTCCACCGTCACGAACCTCTACGAGTACCAGTGTGTCAAACTTGGGTGCCCCATTGGCCCCAGTCACAAATAAACCGGAGTCCTCTGATTTCCAGGTTGTTCGTTCCAAGCCGCCTGGTGCATCCCCTCCGAAGACGGTAGAGCGGAATAAATTTGGCCAACGTGTTGATCGGCTCGATTTCAAGAGCATTCCTCGCGATGATCTTAACAAACTGAAGAAGCTCAAGCTTTGCAATTATCATTTTTTGCTCGGTGAATGCCCTAATGAAGAGAATTGCTATCATGACCACGATCGCAAATTGACCCGCCAAGATCTGCATATTCTGTCTGCCATTGCTCGCATGACACCCTGTCGCTTTGGTCTAGAGTGCGATGACGTCGAGTGTATCTATGGTCATCGTTGCCCTCAGAGCGAGCCTGGTAAAAAGACTTGCTTTCGAGGCGACAGCTGCCGCTTTGAGCCCGTGGCGCATGGTATTGACACCAACATTGTCAAAGTTACGAAAATTTGAGTGGCCATCTGGCAATATTAAGCTCACCTCGGGCGACCTGAACCTTTTGCACTTGCAACAAGGTCCCAAAAATATTGTCCGAGTTTGGCGTGACCGGGTTTGAGGTTTCACGGGAAAAGGTTCAAGGGAAGCACCCATGACATTATCAGAATTCGGGAGTTATGGACGGTGCAAGAGAGCAGGCTTGCTATACGGCCCTTGAGAATTAATCGATGTTTTTTTTATCTTTTCCACGGGAGTGAAAAAGACGGTTCCAGGCGCAAAAGACTTAACTATCTATCGATTGATTCGAAAATTTTAAATTGTATTAGTATTAAGGATCAATTCATACAAGATTTATTTAGTGGTATTACAAGACCTTCAAGACTGGGCTAGAATTCATGTGTGGATAGTCGTACCGAACATGGCAAATCGTCTCTCCCATCCAAAGCAATCAGAGTGAGTGCACGCCTCGCTATCGACATCCATG